TGTGAGTGTCGCGGGACACTCTCCAGTATAGCTCAATGGATCGCTGAGGTGCGCAAACCGTCACACCACGGTAAGGTCCAGTCTATGTACGTTCTCCACACTACTAGTGTAGGCCCACCCACAACACTGTTGCGTCCGAATCGCCGTTGATGATCAGGAAAGCTTTCTCCCTAAGGCTTCATCATCATCATCATCATCATCATCATCATCATCATCATCATCGTCATCATCATCAATGACAGCAACATCAGTGTTGGCACTGATGCTTCACTGCCGTACCTCCCTAAGGCTTATTCTAATATCGTTGAATCCAAGTGATTCGATTGAAGTGTAATCGTAAACGTGAGGAAGTATTGACTCTTCAGAAAGCGAACCACGTTTAAAATTTATTGGCACCTTCGAAAAAGTAGTAACATCCATGTTCGTTCCATTTATTTGCTTCTTGCTTCATCCACTTTCACCTGCTTGAAATGCTCATTTTACTTTTCATCACAGCAACTTGAACGGCGGTCCCCCATTGAATGCAGACTTTGGGAGAGATGTAAGTAGCCCCCGTTTTTATTGTCTTGAGTTTACTTCTCGATTGTCTTATCGGTATTCTTGATTTACACCTTTCATCCATAAACTCAATCCGGTCACATAATAGTTACCTGAGAGTCTGTCTCTATGTCTAATGTACGTCTACACTGTGGTCGGATTTGGACAACTAGTAATTCGCGTTAAAGGTGAACAACCTGCTAAACTTCGAGAAATCAATTTGGTTTTCACGAGAGACTCAATTGAATCTCTCGTTTATGATATTCTACAACTGAATGTTTTGCACACAGGCGGCCTCATGATTCAGTTGGCACGATATTCGAGATATCGCAGTACATATTCATAAAGGAAACTACTCACAAGGTTGCTGAAAACTTTTCGACCTTGTGAGTAGTTTCCTTTATGAAAAAAAACCGCTAACCTGTTTGTCGGTGTGCTGCACGTACCCCACAAACATAAGCTCACCCTTCCACAGGGTGATTTTCTCAAACAGTAAATCACGCGCATCCTGCATGACTGTTTGAGACTTGCGTTTTTTTCAACTGGGGCCTTGGTCTGGATATCAGCTAATCGTCTTGTCTCGAGATTTTCTGTGTGCACATGAAACAAACTCAGTTTTCTACTCGGCAGTTGCCCGTCCTGTTTGCCTAACTTCAAGGCTGCGGTGCATTTATTCCAGTTAGCTCAACCTGATTTGTTCCATAATTGTGAGATGGGCCAAGTGGTTAGAGCGCGAATTTACTGACCGAAAAGTCCGTGGTTCGAACCCGACCTCTGCCTCGCGACTTCCCCTGTCTAAGCTTGGGCAACCTGGCAATATCCCAGTTCTCGTACCTCCTTCGTGTGGCATGGCAGCTGGGTCGGGTGGGGTTTTACGCTATCCCTATCCAACTGGAATGAACACCACAAAACATTGATAAGTAATTGCAGGGGACGTACGGTACTCTATTCCAAGGACGACCTTGAAAAAGTCGTCCGAATTTGGTTGCTTTAGAGAGGTAGTCGTACTAAAGGGAATATAAATAGCCTACAATGGCTACATAACCACGCGATCGTATCGCATAGGGGTTCCTTACAAGAAAGGACGCTAGATAGAGGAAATACTGTATTCAACAACATGAACAGTTGAAGGTGGGAATTATCAACAAAAGAGTGACTTGCGGAAACCCCCGGCCATGTTTGACGAACCAGTGGGCGGCGAAGACAGATGAAACCGGTAGCCGATTAGTAGGAGCGCAGAAAGGTGGGGACACCCATCTGACAATTCAAAACCGTCATAGTTTATTGAGAATGTGGATATCGAAGAAACAAGTTGCATCTCAACTTACACCAGCAATGTATCATTGCTGTATAGCGATATATTCAGTAGACACGGTAGACAAACACGAATACTCGATCGCGTGTCAAATTTACTTTTAAAAATGAGTATTTCTAAGGGTTCAGATCAGCGTTAATGTGGGTCACAGGGAATACAAATGGCCAGAAGGGCCACAAAGATTCAGGTCGAAGCATTCACAAGGGCAGGTCAGTTCATGTCAGTGCTGTTTCTTTCTTCCCTCTCTCTTTCTCTTCGAACGAGCACCATGGGCTAATCACATTAGTCTGAATAATTCCTTGGCTGGTGACGCTTAGCAACAACACCTGAAAATGCCTCGAAATGAATTCTGCCAATATACTGTAGGGTAGGATTTAGTGTGAACTACGTTCTATTGGGCAGTCAACAAGGCTTCAAAATTACAGAATAGTAGGGCAGAGTAATTAGTCAGCAATTTCTGGATTTTTATGTCTACTATTCAGCAACAGCAGTGGAAAGGGCTCCATCTCCATGATATCTCTCCTTGTTTCGGCGTGTACACATGGCACCGGTTTCTCGTTTTTATTTCAAATGAAAAATGGTAATTAACGATTGCTTTTGTTGTGCCATTTCTAATCGTTCCTGAGTATAAAAAATGAATGAACAACAAGCGTAGATTCCTCATCGGTTTTTCTTGTTGATAATTGAAAGCGAGCTATCAACTTCCCTGTTTTGTCATTATTCTCCCCATGGATTACGTTCGATATGACGCGTTCTGTTCTGTTTGCATCTCTGAGCCCTTTAAGCCTAGCTTTAGAACGCTGGCTGAAACACGACATGAAAAGCACTTGAAGCGGAACTGCAAGATTATCAATAAACAGCAGTTCGCGATATGCCTTTGAGGACAGGAATAAGCAGTAATTGGACAGTTGAGATTGCGTACCACTCTGCTAGAATTCCGCTCCGGGTGATATATATATATATATATATATATATATATATATATATAAAGAGAG